CCAAGCGCGCGGCACCCGATGGCGCTGGGGTTCCAGCGGCCGCCTGTGCTCGGAGCGCAGTGCCTCGGGACGCGGGGAGAGGGCGCTGCCTCCTCCCGCCCGCGAGCTGTATTCATTCATAACTTTCCCCCGCCGGAGCTGCCGCGGTTCGGTGCCCCCGAGGCCTCGGCGCGGGACCTTAGCGCCCAGCGCTGCTGCCCACAGTGCTGTCTGCGTGCACTGGCTCCTCTCCGGGCGGGTGCGGGGCGCCGAGGTGCTCCGCCAGAGCGAACTTGCTTGGGAATGCCCTGTAAAATGCGAATTAAAGCTATGCCTGGGGGTTTCATTACTCAAGCCATTCCCACGTCTTCCTTTCTTGTGGATGAGACTTGGCACATTTAAAGTCTTCGTTTTGGAGTTTTAATTTTTTTAAACAAAAAAAAATAGATAGGGCACAGGAGTAACGATTGGCGGCTTCCCAGTATCGTTTAGGGCTTTGGCCTGCTGTTATGCATGTGTATCTCGTGTGAGGAGAAGATAAAATAAACTAGAGGGGCCCCCAAGAAGCTAAATATGTGCAGTCTAGGAACATTAGCATACGTAACAAACTGCTTTTCCTTAAGACTTCTTGTTTTTTCCTTTTGGCACTGGAAAAGTGGAGATGGGTTCTGTCTTGATTTAGGGTGCATCTATGTGAAAAATAGCCTAGATACCTACTGTCCAGAAACGGAAACGTCAGCGTTTGGTCTGTTTTAGGAAGAATACGTTATAAATTGGAAATTATTTCTCGACATGGAAACGTGTTTGTTGTGTCAAGATATTAGTGTATTTGTTTTCTTAACAAAAGGCGTGTCAATTCAGGGCTTGTTGAAAATCAAGGTCTGCCATGTAGGTGAATGAAAGGCGATAAAGGTAATGTGAAGAGATCAGGGTTCTTCTCCCTGCTCTCTAGGCTTGAGACTTTGTGCACAAAAGTTATTCTGGCTTAACCTTTAAAGAAAAGTATGCACAGAGTGTGCGTGTGTGTGTGTGTGTATGTGTGTGTGCGCGCGCGCGTGCGTGCGTGTGTGTGTGTGTGTGTGTGTGTGTGTGTGCGCGCGCGCGCTCTAGTGCCAGGACAGCCAGAGCCACAGCCTTCTTAGTTCCGTTTAGATTCCTTTCCTCATCACACACAGATCAGTGATGAACTTTAGATCCTGGCTTGGGCCTATTGAGACTCCACGTGAGCTTGGAATAGCCAGTGTTTTGGAAATTGTCTTGATTAATTTTCTCATTAATCTAAAGCTCTTAACAGCGTACAAATAGCCAAGAGGCCGCAGAACTAAAGCCATTCTTAATCTTTTAAAAGTAGCTGACATTTTCCTTACGTGAACTGCCAGTGAACTGATAGTGAACTCTCTGAGAACAGTTCCAGGGCGCGCAGTGAATGCTCCCTTCGAAGGCATGCTTCATCTTAATTATTTGTTAGGTTTGCAAACAGGAAGGCATGACTTCCTCTGCAGTTTAGAAGCCGGAGCGCAGCTTCTAATTTTTGTGGCATGAGATCTTTTGCTCGCTTGCTTCCTGTGATGTGGTCCTCTGCAATCTTTTTTGGAGTTGGATTCTTGCCAGGATTCTGCATCACTGAAATCAGCCGATGGAGGAGATCATTACCAGGTGGTTTGGGCAATTTGTTACTTGACAGGAGTCTCCCTTTCCCCTTTTCTCATTTCTTTTCTCTCTCACTGTTCTTTAGGATTTCCGATGCTTGCCAGGTTTCCGCTGACTGCCGGAATTGGAGATCACTCCACATGGATCCCCCAAGCCAGCATGGCAGCCACACTTCCCTAGTGGTGATTCAGCCACCGGCTCTGGAAGGCCGGCAGAGGTTAGACTATGACCGGGACACTCAGCCTGCTGCGATTCTGTCCCTAGACCAGATCAAGGCCATCAGAGGCAGCAACGAATACACAGAAGGACCTTCAGTCGTGAGAAGACCAGCTCCTCGCACTGCACCAAGACCCGAAAAGCAGGAAAGGACTCATGAAATCATACCAGCCAATGTGAATAACAGCTACGAGCACCGACCTGCCAGCCACTCCGGCAATGCCAGGGGCTCGGTGTTGAGCAGGTCAACCAGCACCGGAAGCGCGGCCAGTTCAGGGAGCGGCAGCAGCGCCTCTTCTGAGCAGGGCCTCTTGGGAAGGTCTCCGCCCACCAGGCCCATCCCCGGTCATAGGTCAGATAGGGTCATCCGGACCCAACCCAAGCAGCTGCTTGTGGAGGACTTGAAGGGTTCATTGAAAGAGGACCCCACCCAGCACAAATTCATTTGCGAACAGTGTGGCAAGTGCAAGTGTGGAGAGTGTACAGCCCCCCGGACTCTGCCCTCCTGCCTGGCCTGCGACCGGCAGTGCCTCTGCTCCGCGGAGAGCATGGTGGAGTACGGGACCTGCATGTGCCTGGTCAAGGGCATTTTCTACCACTGCTCCAATGATGACGACGGGGGCTCTTACTCGGATAACCCATGCTCCTGTTCGCAGTCGCACTGCTGCTTCAGATACCTGTGCATGGGAGCCCTGTCTTTATGCCTCCCCTGCTTACTCTGCTACCCTCCCGCCAAGGGCTGCCTGAAGCTGTGCAGGGGTTGTTACGACTGGACCCACCGCCCTGGCTGCAGGTGTAGAAACTCCAACACTGTCTATTGTAAGCTGGAGAGCTGCCCCTCCAGGGCTCAGGGCAAGCCGTCATGATTTCTGGAGGTGGCGTAGACCTCCGGCGTGTCTGACTTCCGAACTGTGGCTGTTAAGAAACGTGGTATTTCTTCTCGAGTCGCTCCTGTCTCTGTAGGAGTGGACGGTGAAACTGCGCCCAGCTTGCTCTCACCCCACTTCAAGGGTGCTGGGAGCTGGGGGGTACCTGTGGAGCGCTGGTGTGAAGCCAGCTTTCCAGCTGTGTCCAGCGAGGATGCATGCACGCCCGGACTCGGCTGAGAG